TCTGCTGCTGCCTGCACTCACATGTCCCACCGCAAAGGCAGCTGCAGGCAGCTCCTTGTCCCCTCCAGGCCTCTCACCCCACCTCCTCTTCCAAGCCCGCTTTACCTCTCCCTTCCTCTGCATGCCCCAGCACCTACATAGTTCAGCATGGCCAGGTGCACCTTGGCTGGTGGTAAATGACCCAGTCCTCTCCACAGTGGGCATTGCATGAGGCAGAGCTGGCCTGAAATGTTACTAACTACATTTAAAAAGGACAGTCTGCCAGTAGCTTCTGTCCCAGGAGCATAGACAGACTTCCATCTTGTCCCAGAACCTGGACACTAATCTGATGTGTATCTTGCTCAGTAAGTGATTATGAGCCACTTGAACCCCATGCTGGACACCCCTGTTCTACCCCAAAAGTTCTCAGGCTCTTTTCGTAGTGTGGGTTGTGCCTTAAATTGTGCTGTGAATGCCTCCCTTCCATTTACCACGCCCCCACCCCCCCCATTTGCCACCATTTCCACCCCCCCATTTGCCACCATTTAGCCCCACTTCCCATCCCATAACCTTCCTGTGCCAACTCCAGCTGATGTTTACATGGAAGAGAAGTATCAGGGAAGTGTTAAGGGATGTTGGTTGTCTCTTAATATGATTTAACAGCTGGGCTGGAGAGCCAGCCCCATGGGAGCAGCCAGCACTTTGCTGACCAGTCTGAGAACTGCTGTTCTGCATTTTCCTAGCCTTTAAGGGTGATATTTTGAACTCTGTGGTGTAGAAACAAGCAGGAAGATGCCCACTCAGCCTTTGTATATCATCAAACAGCACCCTGGTTTGCTCTGCTCTAACACGGTGCCTGCAGGGGGCACTGTTCCCTTAGTTTTTAGGATACTGCTAATGAAAGAGAGGAGAGGAGAGATTGAGTTGTTCTCTCCCGAGATGTGCTTGGCCCTGTCTTGACGCAGAGGGCTAGACTAGATGACCACTCAAGGTCCCCTTCTAGCCCTGCGCTTCCATGATTCTAAGATGCTGCAAAACTGAACTTGGATTTTCTGGCCAAAGCAACAGGCTTGTGAGAGGCAGAGTAAAGGACTGCGTGGGTGGCTCCCTCTGGGCTGTCAGCTTGTTACAGCTTGGTAGGTGTCAGAAGGAAAGGAGGTTAATTCACAAAATGTGATGAATAGAGATATGCTCAGGCTTGCAAAACCTTGATCACCGTAAGCTTGAGTTTCCCTGCTGATCCGTGAAGGGAGACAGAGCCCAAGCCTGGTTACAAAGAGGACATCATCTTTAGGGCTCCATGACTGCCCCCTTCTCCCCCAAGGGAATAATACTTAGCCAGACTGCATTTATGTGACTGCTGCCATCCCCACTCCGCTGGGCTGGCATTTCCATTCATCTCCTTTTTCAGAGGCTCTTGTTGTGGCTACTTTAATTCCCCTCCTGCTGGAACTCAGTGTGGCATGTCACCTTTTAACAGTCCATCTGGCCTTTTAGCACTTGCGATTATCGTGCAGCCCTGTTGGCATCGGTGTACCAAAGGCCAACCCTTGGACTGAGTTACAGCATCATCTGTCCAGAGGAGGAGGCAAGAGTTCTCCATCAGAACTCATTCAGCAGGTAAATTACAGAATAGCAGCTTCACAGATTTCGGCAGCTCCAGTGAAATTAGATGACCTTTCAATTCATCTTCAAAAGCTCATGTGTGGTGAGAACATTTATACTAAATAGTGAATCAGAGCAGGTCTCTGCCCACTCACACGCTTCAGCAGGAAACCACAGTTGCAAAGAATTGCTTTGTAGAGTAGGTTGTTCCATCTACAGTGGAAAGCAGCCCCCGCTCCCCATACTGTAGGCTACCGCCCTTTGGTACTATTTATACATCTGATCAACAGGAAGGTTACCTAAAACAAGCCTCCAGTTATACAAGGGCAGTTGTTGCTTTTCCCAGCTTTTTTGGTCTCACACAGCAATCATGTTAACATTCAAACCCAGCGGGACTTGTAATTCTGGAGTAGGCAGTCCTGATACATTCTAAGTAATACCCCCCCATTCTTATAATTTGTTTGTGATCACTTCATCCTGAAGCACTTGAGAAACCACCTGTTAAACATGATACCAGTCTTATAAAATAGTATTCCCAAATCCTAGTAACTTACATTGCATGTTATTGCTGTTTGTTGCATATAATATTTAGTAGAGGTCTGATGTGCAAAAACACCTGACTGTGCGAATAAAACTTGTATCTACTGCTGTTTGAGCAATCGACAGGGCTAGAACACAGGGGGGGAAATGTAGCTTAGTCTTGATGACTTCTTAAACTGAGTTTTTCCTAGTACTTTGGCCACTTGATTTCTAAAGCAAAAATGCCTATATCCTGCCTCCCCCTGAAACCTTGGAACTGCTCTAATTCACAATTCCCTTCATTCTCATGAATGAGAATGGAGTGTCAATTTAGTGTGGTTCTTGCTTCCTGAACCACCTTCCCTGACCCCTGCAATCACAGTGTACTGGGCCTGAACGCTTAGTGCCCAAGGGCTGGAAGGAGTTTATTGTATTTCCCCTCTCTCAAAAGGTGTCCTCAGGAGTCTGGGATCACTGGTGATTACATATGCTTGAGTTAAAAATAGTGCTCCTGCTCTGAAGGATCAGCAGCCAAGGCCCAGCCTCAGGCAGGAAGTTAGCAAGCTCCAGGCTGATGGGGCTGCACTGCTCTCAAGTAGGCCTGCAACCAAATTTCTATCTTAATATTGAATCTGCTGCTGCACTAATGCCATCTATGTAAACCTGGTTATGTTCCCCTTGCTCAGGGCTACCTTTTTCCTTGAGCAAGAAACTGAAGCAAAGCGAGGTTGACTTTAGCAAAGCTTTTGACACGGTCTCCCACAGTATTCTTGTCAGCAAGTTAAGGAAGTATGGGCTGGATGAATGCACTACAAGGTGGGTAGAAAGCTGGCTAGATTGTCGGGCTCAACGGGTAGTGATCAATGGCTCCATGTCTAGTTGGCAGCCGGTATCAAGTGGAGTGCCCCAAGGGTCGGTCCTGGGGCCGGTTTTGTTCAATATCTTCATAAATGATCTGGAGGATGGTGTGGATTGCACTCTCAGCAAATTTGCGGATGATACTAAACTGGGAGGAGTGGTAGATACACTGGAGGGGAGGGATAGGATACAGAAGGACCTAGACAAATTGGAGGATTGGGCCAAAAGAAATCTGATGAGGTTCAATAAGGATAAGTGCAGGGTCCTGCACTTAGGACGGAAGAACCCAATGCACAGCTACAGAGTAGGGACCGAATGGCTAGGCAGCAGTTCTGCGGAAAAGGACCTAGGGGTGACAGTGGACGAGAAGCTGGATATGAGTCAGCAGTGTGCCCTTGTTGCCAAGAAGGCCAATGGCATTTTGGGATGTATAAGTAGGGGCATAGCGAGCAGATCGAGGGACGTGATCGTTCCCCTCTATTCGACATTGGTGAGGCCTCATCTGGAGTACTGTGTCCAGTTTTGGGCCCCACACTTCAAGAAGGATGTGGATAAATTGGAGAGAGTCCAGCGAAGGGCAACAAAAATGATTAGGGGTCTGGAACATATGAGTTATGAGGAGAGGCTGAGGGAGCTGGGATTGTTTAGCCTGCAGAAGAGAAGAATGAGGGGGATTTGATAGCTGTTTTCAACTACCTGAAAGGGGGTTCCAAAGAGGATGGCTCTAGACTGTTCTCAATGGTATCAGATGACAGAACGAGGAGTAATGGTCTCAAGTTACAGTGGGGGAGGTTTAGATTGGATATTAGGAAAAACTTTTTCACTATGAGGGTGGTGAAACACTGGAATGCGTTACCTAGGGAGGTGGTAGAATCTCCTTCCTTAGAGGTTTTTAAGGTCAGGCTTGACAAAGCCCTGGCTGGGATGATTTAACTGGGAATTGGTCCTGCTTTGAGCAGGGGGTTGGACTAGATGACCTTCTGGGGTCCCTTCCAACCCTTATATTCTATGATTCTATGAGGTGATCTGGAAGACCCTTAGGTGTTCCCCTCTAGGCTTTGGCTACACTCTGGTTCTTCAGGAGGGAAGGACCTAGTGGCCATACTCCTATCCCCTCTTCCCCTATTATTAATACTGTTTAGCCTTGCACTGTAGGCTGCACTGAACTGTTTCCAACCCATGCTACAGCTTTGACCTCTAGCAGCTGGGTCTTATCTCACTGCTACGCTGAGCCGCCTATCAGGGTAAGAAGGGCTCTGTGGGCTTCTACAACTGGGTCTCCAACTTCACCTCTGATCTGCTCCAGTCTCCAGGGGAGATGGTAGTTTTCTGTCCCCTGCCCTGGACTCAAGTCCACCTTGGGCAGGGCTGGGAGGACAGAGGCAGCGACTCCCAGGTGGGTGCTGAAGGCAATGCGGCTGGCTGGGGGCAGTGGGGTGGTGGCTCAGGTGTGCCAGGATGAGGGAGGCCCATCTTATTGGGGGCGGGGGGAATATGATCTATGCCATAGGAAGGCCCCCCGGTGCCCACCTGCTGGGTATGGTGCGGACAGCCTGAGCTCCGAGCAGGCCCCACGGGGTGGGGGCAGCTGCTGCCCTTGGACCCAGTGTGGCTGGGCACCCTGCCGGGGTGGGGGCCTGTAGCTCTCCTCCCCTTGACCCCGGGGCAGAGAGGGGAGGAGCCTGCAGCCGAAGCCCCGCCCCCAGCGCCCTGGCGGTTTTATGACTGCTGTAGGGGAGGGGCTTGAGGCATAAGCTCCGCCCCTTACAGTCTTTCCGGCGCTGGGGCAGCCCGCCCTCTGCCGCCTCTCGCTGGGGGGGCGGGGCTCAGGCCTGCAGGCACGCCCCCTTCCCGCTCCCCACCAATCGCGTGCTCCCATCGACGCGCTGCCCCCGCCCGCTGCGGGAAGGAGGCCGGGCGGGAGCGCGAGCCCCGCCCCTCCGCCAATGGCAGGGCCGCGCCCGCCCTCTCCTCAGCGGGGCCGGAGCGAGCGGGCCCGGGCCGGCGCAGGAGCCGCGCGCGGCGGGCGGGCGGGCGGGATGGCGGTGTGGACGCGCGCCGCCAAGGCGGGGCTGCTGGAGCTGCTGCTGCGGGAGCGCTGGGTGCGGGTGGCGGCGGAGCTGAGCGGCGAGGCGCTGAGCCTCACCTCGGAGCCGCCGCCGCCCGAGCCCGCCGCGCCGCCCAACGGGCTGCCCCACGGCGCCGAGCGGGGCGGCCCGGAGCCCCGCCCGCCCTCGCCGCCCCCGGCCGAGCCGGCGCCGCCGGGCGTGCGGCGGGTGCGGGTGGTGAAGGCCGAGGCGGGCGGGCTGGGCATCAGCATCAAGGGCGGGCGCGAGAACCGCATGCCCGTGCTCATCTCCCGCATCTTCCCGGGGCTGGCGGCCGAGCGCTGCGGCGCCCTGCGCCTGGGGGACGCCATCCTCGCCGTGAACGGCACCGACCTGCGCGACGCCACCCACGACCAGGCCGTGCAGGCGCTGAAGCGGGCCGGCCGCGAGGTGCTGCTGGAAGGTACCGGGGGCGGGGGCGGCGGCGCGCGGAGCTTCCCCCTCCCCCCCGGGCCGGGGGCTGTGAGAGACAACAACCCCCCCTCCCTCCCCCCCCCCCGGGCCGGGGGCTGGGAGAGACGACAACCCCCCTCCCTCCCCCCCCGGGCCGGGGGCTGGGAGAGACGACAACCCCCCTCCCTCCCCCCCCCCCGGGCCGGGGGCTGGGAGAGACGACAACCCCCCTCCCTCCCCCCCCCCGGGCCGGGGGCTGGGAGAGACGACAACCCCCCCTCCCTCCCCCCCCCGGGCCGGGGGCTGGGAGAGACGACAACCCCCCCCTCCCTCCCCCCCGGGCCGGGGGCTGTGAGAGACAACAACCCCCCCTCCCTCCCCCCCCACGGGCCGGGGGCTGGGAGAGACGACAACCCCCCCTCCCTCCCCCCCCCCCGGGCCGGGGGCTGGGAGAGACGACAACCCCCCTCCCTCTCCCCCCCCCGGGCCGGGGGCTGGGAGAGACGACAACCCCCTCCCTCCCTCTCCCCCCCGGGCCGGGGGCTGGGAGAGACGACAACCCCCCTCCCTCCCCCCCCCCGGGCCGGGGGCTGGGAGAGACGACAACCCCCCCCCGGGCCGGGGGCTGTGAGAGACGACAACCCCCCCCCGGGCCGGGGGCTGTGAGAGACGACAACCCCCCCCCGGGCCGGGGGCTGTGAGAGACAACAACCTCCCCCTCCCCCCCGGCTCCGCTGCCGGCTCCGGGACAGGACCTGGGTCCCCTGGGCGAGACGGGGGTAGGGCCTAGTGCTCAGCTCCGCCGGGCTCCCGGTGTGGCCCCGGGACAGTCCCTGAAGCCGGTCCGCGGCTTGCGTGGGCCGATGTGTCCGTACAGCGCCTCGCACGCGTGGCCCCCCGCTTGCTCTGGCCTGTCCAGACCCGTCATGCTGCTGTTAGCTTACGTCCGGGCTCTGAACTCCTGGTGGCATGGAGAGTTGCCTGTGTGTGGCCTACAGGCAAAAGGTGGGCGATGAAATTAAGAACTTTTCTGGCTCATGGTGCAGTATGATCCCCTCAGCGGTGGGTCTTGCAGGGCGGGAGTATGTGTGTAGGAGGAGCAGCAGGCCAGTGTTTACATCTGAGCTAGATACTTGGTTACTTTGGGTTGGTCCAGCAGAATCTTGCTTTCCTGCAACTGTGCTCATTCGTACGCCGTCCCTGGGCAGGGGAGCTCTGTTCACAGGTGCAGCTCTGTAGGTTAAGTTAGTGCCTGAAAAACAAGCTCCTCCCTGCTGATTTCGTGTGTGGTCCTAAACTGAACAGCTCTATCACATGCAGTTTTCCTTTATTTGCATTTCAAAGCTCCTACTCTGTGGCATTTGTCCCGGTTGGGTTCTCTGTAATACAGAAGCAGAGCAGTGGGGATAGCCATTGAGTCCTCTTTGGAGATGCTGTCTGTAGGGCTGCTAGAGTGAAACTCCTGTTTCACAGTCTGTCATCTCTAAGTAGCCCAGTGTTAGCGGGGACATGTCCTCACCCCAGCCCTTGTAGTGGATCTCCTAATTGAAGTGTACTTGCATTCCCATGGTTGAAAGATGTGGTAGTGGGTGTAAGGCCATGCCTGATTTGCCTGTTGTTTTAGGGAAATTCATGAGCAGTAACCTGGGGGCCACAAACCGCAAGTGAAGATGTTATTTGGTGCCTCCCTTTCTTTCTTAGGGGGATCGTTCACTGCCTGGCTCACATGCTAGCAGCAGCATCTGCTGGCTGCTAAGCCCCAGCCCATGGTGAAAGCTTTAGTGCAATTCTGATACTCAAGTCTGTTGTTGTGGCTTTGCCTCCAGTAGAGATGCTGCTGCTATTCTGCAGTTGCTGAGTGGCTCAGCGTCTGCAACTGAACCCGTAAGGTAGTATTTGTGGTTGGAAGTCCCTTATAGCCGAGGGCCTGTAACTAAAAATGCAGCTGTACAGACTTGTCCGTGGGTGCTTGAGCAGTAAGGTTTGTGACTGATGTACTCCAACACCACTGGAACAGACTAAATTTAAACACTGGGCTGCAAAGCAACCAGCCAAAGTTTTCTGTTTGCATGAAAGTGGAGGCACATGCTGTGAGCTCTTCAAAACAGTCCTCCCTTAACTAGAGGCCCATGCTGCTGTGTTGGTTTTGTGGGAATAAGTATTAGGTGATGGATTTGAGTTTGTTCTGTAAAGTTACTGGAATCAAACTGCTAATTGCTTGTGTGTGGGTGGCATTCTGCAAAGAACATTGAGTTCTCACACTTTGGGACTGCAGGTTGGATGGGATGATCTGGAACGGGGTCGTGACCCAGGTTATTACATGGTCATGAGCTGTCTGCCTCCAACCCTCTTCTCCTCCAGCATTTATAATAGTTAAATGTAAAAAATGTGTTTTTAATTTATAAGGGGGGGGTCACACTCAAAGGCTTGCTCTGTGTGAAAGGGGTCACCAATGCAAAAGTTTGAGAACTGGTCTGAAAGAAGTTGGGATGGCTTCACAGCATCATTTCCTGTGCCCTGAACATCCTGACCTGGACAGACTACTTATTTGTCAAGAGCCTTGTTTTATGAAAGTTCTTGAAAACCTGTTTTCTGAAGCAAAGCCTCTATATACTGGTGCAAAGAATGTGATGGGAGAGTTGCTGGTGATTGGAGGCAGATCCAGAGGGTCTTAAAAGAGGAATTTATCTGTGGAAAGCTGAAATATGCAGCAAACTAACCCACTGTTAGTGATGAGGGTGACTGCATTATCTGAAAGATTATAGCAGTAAGAAAACCATAAAGCTATGTTCAGAAGGGTTGTAAATTATGGGGTGTATTTTATTTCACTGTCTTAGCCGTCCAGTGCACTGCTGTATCAGGAAGGCAGAAGGCAGTTTACGCATAATTTGTTTAATACTGTGAAAGGATTTGATTCTTGCTGAAGGTAAAATGTGGTTCAGGTTTGCTATTCCTTTGGGAAGCTGTTTCCTTGAAGTTTGCATGCTGTGATATGGAGATGTTGGTATTTTTAGATTGTTGTCTTTTTATTTATTATACAACTTTGTGATTAAAAGGCGTTGAGAGCATAAATTATCTGCTGGTCTAGGGAGTGACTCTGTCATTAGTAATCTGTGGTTGCAAGTAAGGGAAACTGAGCGATTTCTCTTCTAAACCGAACAGAAAAATGAATCTTAGTTTGCAAAATGCATCAGGAAAGCAGACCGAGAAACCTTGATTTCTGGAGAGGTAATTCCATTTTAAGACCTACAGTTCCCACACTGAGCTGTCTGGGTAGCTTCTGAGCTCTGGAGAGCCAGAAGGAGTGAGTCTGCTCTTTTACTGCCTTCCCTGGGCTGCCTTTCTCAACGACATTTATGATTCTAGTGAGAACTGATGCCTGAAGCTGCCAATAGAGCTTCCTTTTAAAGTCCGTCAGTGGCTATTAGCCAAGATGGTCAGGGATTCAATCCCATGCTCTGGGTGTCCCTAAACATCCAACTTTCTGAAGCTGAGACTGGATGATGGGATGGGTCACTCGAAATTGCTCTGTTCTATTCATTCCCTCTGAAGCACTTGGCATTGGCCACTGTTGGAAGACAGGACGCTGGGCTAGATGGACTTCTGGTCTGACCCAGCTTGGCCTTTCTTATGTTCCTGTACTCTGACAGATGGCTGCCAGAACAGGGGTGGGTTTGAAGTGTAGCTGCTGCCTCCAGAATCTACCGTCTTGCAGCAGACCTGAGGCTGTCGGAGTAAATCCTGCAGGAGTCCGAGGCTAGATGTTCTAATTCTAGTTCAGCTTTCTAAATCCTTCCTGTGCTCCTGTGGCTGATTCTGAGGTACCTTCTTCCAGTGATTGCTGCTAATGATTACATTAACCCTTTAAAATGTAAAGCCTGAAAGTTGTTGACATGTGGTAGAGTCCTGAGTCAGCAGTGGAAGGCTTGGCTGCATTGAACCTCTAGTTTGCAAACTGAGCTAGAAATCTCATGAAACCTTGCCGGGTGATTTCCAGCACTTCCTGGGCTTTTCTGTCACAGCCAGTGACTGGTGATACATCTATAAGGGACAAGGACTTCCCTTTGGGTTTGTCTCTGTAGCAGAGCATCATGCCCCAGAGCTTTAAGAGTTCAATCCTTTTGGAAGTAATTGGTGTAAAAGTGATCAACATGACAAGAGATTGCATAATGTTCTGCCATGCAAAGCAAATGTGACTCTAGGACTACCATTATTTGACATGCTCAGACAAGAAATATAAAATAACCCAGCCTTCCAAGAGCTTGAACGAGTAATTCCAGGTGGATGGTCAGTGCTTTGGGACTGCCAAGATAAAATTGCTGCGTTCAAGGGGATTCCATTCAAAAGTCACGGTGTAGTAATATATTACAGTATCAGGCCAAGCATAATGCACTGATTCCCATCAGGGTACAGAGATGTGTAAGAACTGCCCATAGGCTGTAGTTGGGTACATTCTGGGCACTGGCAGTGTAGATGCCTCCTTCAGTAGCAGAGTGCAGTTCAGCACATTCCCATCTTGGCATTTGTTTGTTTTGCTATGGCTGCCCATAAATGTCAGCTTTATGTTGATTTTTGGGCTGCGGAACTGGCTTGAGAACACACGTTTTCACATACAGCACCAAACAGACATTATATGGGGTCTAATGAGGCCATGTTCCACCTGGACTGCATTAGAATTGGTGACCTAGAGTAAAAAGGCTATGCAGCCCATTACCCATATCCTTGAACCCCCTTCTGAATTTCAAAGGGACTCAGTAGTGCTGCTGCCGGGTTGCTAGGGTTATAACATGAAGGGCTCCAGGTGATGCACAATTGTTATGAACCCCAGCATGAAGACTAGAGCTGCCAAAGAATGCTGATTTACCCTAGCTCAGCTGTAACCTGATAATTTGAGCCTTTGGGACCTCTGGAGAGAAGTCAGCATTGCTCTGCGGTGGCTGGGAAAAGATTTCACGTCACTTCACTAGCTCCAATCACAGTTATTGCTTTTAACAAAAAATGCACTTGTCA